GGATGGATGGATGGATGGATGGATGGATGGATGGATGGATGGATGGATGGATGGATGGATGGATGGATGGATGGATGGGAGGTTGATTGATGAATGGATAATGGATGGATGGATGGATGGATGGATGGATGGATGGATGGATGGATGGATGGATGGATGGATGGATGGATGGATGGATGGGAGGTTGATTGATGAATGGAGGATGGATGGATGGATGGATGGATGGATGGATGGATGGATGGATGGATGGAAGGCTGATGGATGGATGGATGGAAGGCTGATGGAAGGTCAATCCTGTGCCCCAAATTTCCACCCCATCATTGCTCCACCACCATGCTTATCATCAGGTATTTGTCTTGAAACCTGTTTTATTCTGTTTCTTTGATTGTTTTGTCCTTTCCACACATTTGCCCAACCTGTACATAAGATTGGCTTTCTAATAATTACTGCAGTTGCCTCTACAGGCCTGAGTCGGATTTGTGTTACTGTGTCGTGCTGCGCTCTCTCGTTTACCTGGCTACTTTATTGCAAAGAGAGAACAGGGGTGATGGTTTCTTTAGTTGGATCACAAAAGTCCAGCTACAACTTCCCCTAAAACCCCGTCACAGACTCATCACAGTTTTAAATTTCTACTCAAGACCACGAAAGTAACTCTTTTGTAGTGAAACAAAAAGGCCAAATTTGAGTCTTATCACTTAACGGATAAAAACAAGTAAAAATTAGGGAAGCTTTCTATAAGAAGAGGAGCTCAGATCGTACCTGGGAATTACTCTCTGTTTGCTAAAAATGTAAGATGCTCAATTAGAAAATTAATTCAGTATTTATAACTTTCTTATCGAAGAATAAATTAGTCCTCTAAATGAAAGACCTTTTTTTTTTTACAGGCCTATAACTTTACCTTTAAGTTTTCTGTCCAGTAAACGAGCCATAGACGTGCAGCCTGGCCACCTTCTCCACCTTTAGTTACCAATGAAAACTGGCCTCAGATTAAATATGTAGTTATTAAGATGATAAATTAGAAAATATAAACTGGACTCATTTCATACATATATAAGATACTACATCACATTATAAAAAATCAGCTCAGACATCCTGGATGGTTGTTGACCAAACACTGCGTAAAAAACACTTTATTGTGCTGAATTACAGTAGGGCTTATAGGCCCACTGGGAATTTAACAATTAAAAGGTGTGGTCATGTTCTCCAAATTTCACCTTTTTTACTCTCAACATGGAGTTTCAGAGGTTGCTGCTGAATAACAAAATAAACATACCCTAAAGGTGTCACTGATTAGCTCAGCAGTACTACCACTTACTTTCTTGAATGACTTTGGCTGTGACTTTGTGCAGAAAATGTGCAGGAATGTCTAAAAAGCAGGAAAGTTGGAAGCGACAGTAGCTGACGGCAGCGAAGAAGAAGGTGAGAGGGAGAGTTCACTTGTTATTATGGGGATTCTGATGGACAGCTCAGGTCTAGCCGAGCAGAAAGGCAACATGGCAATGCTGTAGGAGAGACTAAAGGATGCGTTGGGAGGCTTGTAAACTGATGGTTTATAGGTTAAAGCAATTTGCTTTACATTTACTGGTTATACACATTAAACAAATGTAACCTTTTTCGATTAACCGACTGCACAGATGATGTTTTGAGGTTAGGTTGACTTTCTCGCTTAAAATTATGTTAAAACTATTTTTCCAAGATCAGATATCCGAAGAGGCACAGAGGGGAAATCCAAATCGAAGTCGGGAGAAAGATCCAGGTTCAGTCCACAGTTAGAAACCAGCAGGAGTCCATAGACGGATCAGAACAGGATCAGCAGATTCAAAGGTCAGAGGGCAGAACTAGTCAGGATCAGGCAATTAAAATACAAATGGGTACCTTGGAGAACTCTCACTAAAGACTACAAATGATCTGGTAGGGATGACTGGCAGCAAGCAGCTTAAATAGAGCAGGGGCAGGTGAATAAGATAAACAGTGATTAGAAACTGGGCGGAGCTAGGCAGGTGAATGGAATGAACCATTAAGACAGTCATCAGTGCCAAGAACGTGACAATACCGGCATCAAAAATGTTGCATGACTGCACACTCATGTAATCCAGGTACAGTAGCAGCTTAAAAAAAACGTTTTTCACTACCAGCAATCCAATTTGGATTGGATAAGATCATATTGAAAAGATGGTATTCCAAATCTTGAGAATCAGAACCAAATTGATTCTTAAAAATTGAATCCATACCTAGCCTACCGACAAGCCAGTATGATAATTGCCATAACATGGCAAAACATTCTGGAAAGCATTCTTTACAGCCCGATTTTATAAACGGGACGAACAGTGGAAACAGGTTGGAACCAAACAGATAACAGATTTGACCAAAAAAATAAAAAAATATTTGCTTTATTAAAAGCACTTGGAGCAGGCAGTTGTTGAGGTTTTTAAAGGTATATGCAGCTCATTCTTTATTATCACGATTCACTAGAACAGCTCTACATCGTGATCTCAATCTCGACTGCTATGGGTACAGAGAAGCACTCTTGCATTATGGGTAATTCTGGAGACACAGCATAAACTCCTCCCTAAAGCTTTGGGATTGAACTGGTAAGTTTAAGACCAGAGAGTCCAATCCTTCCTATAATGAAAAGCTTACTATTGAATACACAGATAGTCAGTCTAGGCTGAAGGGGGAAAAAATCATGAAACAAAGCAAGAGTTACAAGAATCGTATTAAATAATTCCAAAAAAAAAATAATAATAATAATGATAATAATAATCCAAACCTCAAAAAGAAAAGTGACTACACAGAATCAGATTCTTTCTTGGGCATAAAAATGACAATATTCCTTGCATAAACATTCCTCTGACCCCTTGGTATTGTCCAGTCTCTTACTGTGTTGTAGCTTTGGTCAAATCTGGCAGTGATCTTCTGTCCCCCCTGTTCCTTTTTTACAACTACTTCAGTGTAGTCCACATTTTAGGAGGAGTTTTGGAGGTGTGAAATTGTTTAACATCTTGGCAATCTTGTAAACAATTACTCTGGGTGTTATGCAAAGTGAATGATTTGGTAACAAGAAGAAAAATCCTATCAGTTTTCTGTTTGAAAGACATTAATTTAAAAGGGAGGAGTGAAGAAGAAGCCTGTGGTGTGTGTTTAGAGAAGAGCTATTCATCTTTCCAGATGACAAGACCCTCCTACACAAAGCCAGATCCATACAGAAACATTTTTCCTTGATTGGTGGGAAAGAGCAAAACTGGATCACCACCAAAATCTTAAAGACGGAGCAGAACACAAACACTGACGGCGGCTATTATCTCCTTCCAGCTCCGTTTGTGATGCTGTAAAAGTTTCAAGTTGTCTTTGAATCCACATGTTTTCTTTTATGTCCTGTATAGCTGCAGCTTCAGTTTCTGTCAAGCTGCTAAATGCTGTACAACCGTCGGCTGTGTGTTGGAATCCGGAAGATTTTGACACCATAAAGTCTGTTTTGCAAACAACAGGATGAGGAAAAACTGAAATGCTACCATTTTCATGAAGAAGCTTAGGATGAGCTATCGCAGCTGCGGTTCATTCCACGGAAGAGGCCGCTCTGTGCTAGCATGATGGAGCGAGTCTAGGGGCATTAGGAGGGGAAGATATATAGCGTGAGGGTTTGGGGGCTTAGCAGAAAGGAGGAAAGCGATA